TTATTGAAGAAAGCACATCACCATGGATGGCTCAAGTATTGGTTACACGCACAGAATATCAAAAAAGGCGAATGGTTATTGATTATTCACAAAATATAAATAAATTCACTTTACTTGATGCATCCTATTCCAAATATCGAATCATTAGTAACAAAAATAGCCAAATATTCGATATTATGCACCATCGATTTAAAATCTGCTTATCACCAAATTCCAATTCGAGAAACAGATAAATCTTTTACAGCTTTTGAAGCAGTTGGTTGCCTATATCAATTTTAAAGAATTCCATTTGGGGTTACAAACGGAGTATCCTGTTTCCAGAGAGTGATAGATTCAATAATCGAAAAAGAAAATTTACAAGGTGTTTTCTCATATTCAGATGATGTGACAATATGTGGTGAGAATCAAATTTAGCAACATTTTTAGGAATAACTAAGAAATACGAGCTTACACTTAATCAAAATAAGGGTGTATACAGGGCTTTCATTTCAAAACTTGCCGCGCACGTTATCTGCGTTAAGAGGCATGTTTGTGGAAATCGCCGAAACACGTCAACAAATTTATTGGGGGGGAAGGTTTTTTACGTGAAACTGGACTTTCCTCCTTCAACCCCCTAACCCCCAGGGCTACGTCCCCAAAATTTTCAAATGAGACAGGGGGTCGAGTGATAGATCATTCAGGCTGTTTAATCTGTACATTTTGCCGTCCTATTTTTTGAATTTAAGTTCAGAGTTGCAGAATAACACCAATTTCAATGTTTAAAAAATGCCTATTCATCTTTAAACACACCTGCTTTTTTACCTACCTTTTCATTACAGCATTAGGTAAACAAGCAGGTGTGTTTAAGGATAAATAAGCATTTTTAAACATTGAAATGGGTGTTATTCTGCAACAGTGAGGTCAAATTTAAAAAATAAGACGGCAAAATGTTCAGATTAAACAGCCCTTTGAAATGATCTATCACTCGATTCGCTGTCTCACTTGAAAATTTTGGAGTGGTAGCCCTAGGGCTTAGGGCGTTGAAGTGGCGAAGTCCAGTTTCACGTAAAAAACCTTCCCCCTCAATAAATTTGTTGACGTGTTTCGGCGATTTCCAGAAATCTGTCTATTTTCGCTGATAACGTAGGTGGCAAGTTTTGAAATGAAAACCCTGTATAATAAAAAATCTAGTAATTTACTAGGATACACTATTGAAAACAAGACATTGAAACCTGATTCTGATAGACTAAAACCACTATTAAACTTGCCAGTTCTTGAAAATTTACAGTCTTCGAAGAGTAGTGGGCATATTTTCACATTATTCGAGGTGGATTTAAAATTTTTCAGATAAAATTCTTCTTTGTACTATAGATGAAGATGAAACTTTAATCGTTGAAACTGATGCATCGGATTTTGCTATTGCCGCTACAATAAGCCATTCAGGAACTAGGAAGACCTGTTGGATTTTCTTCGAGAACATTATCAGAAATTGAAAAGAAGCATTTTGCTGTGGGAAAAGAATCATACGCTTGTGTAGAAGCACTACGTAAATGGCGTTATTTTTTAATTGGAAGACATTTCCAGCTTGTTACAGATCAAAAATTGGTGTCGTTCATGTTTGATTCACAGTAACATTCTAGAATCAAAAATGATAAAATCATGAGATGGAGATTGGAGCTTTCTTGTTATAGCTATGATATAATCTATCGTCCTGGAAAATCAAATGTTGCAGCTGATACTTTCTCAAGGATTTGCGGTTCAGTTTCAAATGATACAAATTTATTTGAATTACATAAAAATTTATGTCACCCTGGAATAACAAGAATGTACCATTTTGTCAAAGTTAAAAATTTAGCTTACTCTTTGGAAGAAGTGAATAGAATGACGTTGAGTTGTCCTGTATGTGCACAAGAAAAACCTAGATTTTGTAAGAATGTTGGAGCTCATTTAATAAAAGCAACATCACCTTTTGAGAGGCTCAATATTGATTTTAAAGGACCACTACCAAGTTCTCATACTAAAAATGGATACATGCTGACTAAAGTAGATGAATTTTCAAGATTCCCTTTTGCTTTTCCTTGTAAAGATACATCAGCTTTTACTGCTATAGAATGCTTAAATCATCTGTTTTCATTATTTGGAATGCCAGCTTTTATACATTCGGATCGCGGATCAGCATTTATGTCAAAGGAACTCACTAAATATTTACATTCTCGTGGGATAGCTTCTAGTAGAACTACACCGTATAATCCGGAAGGAAACTGACAAATTGAACGATATAATGGTATTATATTGGAATCTATCACCCTTGCACACAAATCTAGAAAACTAAAAACTACTCAATGGGAACTTGTGTTACCAGATGCCTTACACTCCATTAGATCTTTGCTTTGTACTGCAACGAACTATACGTTTCATGAGAGATTATTTAATTATCAACGCAGGTCAACTAATGGAACGTTAGTTCCAACATGGCTTAAACAATCAGATTTTGTTTTGCTTAAGAAACATGTACGACGTAGTAAATACGATCCTTTGGTAGAAGAGGTTGAACTCTTAGAGGTTAATCCAGACTATGCTTTAATTAGACACGAAAATGGAAAGGAAACCACTGTTTCTGTAAAACATTTGGCACCCAGAGGAGATATAAAACTTTAAGATGCACCTTCTCAACATCAAAATGAAGAATTGACACAGTTAAATCAAGACCATTAATTGATAAATTAGGAAAATAGAAAATCTGAAGATTTACAAGATCAACCATGCAAATCTTCTGGAAGCCGAACTCAGCCAAAGTATATCTCAGATTATGTCAAAAACTAGACTAGGGGAGAATGTGAAATGTTATTTCTAATGCATTTCATTATCACCTGTATCTAATGAATAGCTACTTTTTTTTTTTCTCCAAACGTCAAAAAAACGTCACTTTGTTAACACCTGTCAAGATGTTAGAAACGTAATAGACCTGTCTCGTATAAATAGAAAAAGAGAGCTTAATTGTAATAAATACAAGTTAGAAAGTAATAAAAGATGACATGCTCGCGCAACTCGTAGGTGCAGTGTAGCCAGATTGTATTGTAGCAGAACAAATGTAGACAATACAAATCCCACATTATAACATTAAAGAAGTGATATAGTGTCAAGTGTTTTACAACGCCTTAAATCAGACAAAAGAAGCGCTTGAAAAGTGTATGTTAACATCGTTTTCACTTTTATTTTGATAAATGTTTTATCCGGCAACATCGCACAATGAAATTGCAAAGGGATATGGCAAGTATAATTTAACATAACCTTAAACGACACTGCGGTGAGTTCAAGTAATATGTAAAGTATTAGTTTGCTCTTTGTCGAATTACACGTTACAAAGAAAGAAGGAACGATTCATTCTGAACTGGCCCCTGAATAAGAATATGACGTAAGCCTGTAAGTTACCTGCTTCTCATTGGACGCTCACCTGCAGCCTACAAGCGACGCGCGCAGTCCAGGTAATAGGAGATCGGTCTATTTCTATGCTGCAAGGCAAATCCAGCGGGTTTACACCTGTCGAGGTGGTAGAAATTCAATTTCTATGCTGCTAAGCAACCGCAGCGGCAGTAGAAGTACTTTTAGTGCCGCTGGAGCGGCAGCAAAAGTACTTTTAGTGCCGCTCGTACTTTTACAGCCGCTCAACTATCCAGTTACCCCCGAGCTTACCCCATTTGTTCGAAGAAAAAATAGCGTATTGCATACGGAGTAGAAGCACTTTTTTGTGCTTCAGCAGTATTGCAAGCCTCACTACGTTCGGCTCTCAAACCTACTGCTTCAGCACAAAAAAGTAAAGCTTCTACTCCTAATACAACAATATACTATTTTATAGTAATACCTTTTTGTTATAAATACGTTTGTCACATTGACATTGTTAAATGTATGAATTGTAAAACTATGGTTGAGTTTTGCAAAAGCCTCAATTTAGAAAGGTTTATTTACTACACCTATCGACTTTGCTTGCCTTCAATAGCAGAAGTGGCCGGCACCCCCCTAGAAGTACTACCTCTAAGAACAACTACTACACCACTGAGCAATGGGCAACAGGTGGCGTTCTTGGGTCGATATCTGCAAATTGGACCCAAATAGAAAAAAAAAAAACTGGGAACGTCACTGGATTTTGCTTAAAAAAGTGCTTCTTAATAGAAAGTTTTCACGGAAATCCACAGTATTTCTCAAAATCGAGAAACGCGCTCTCTAGTAGCAAAACGGTTGAAGATGTCAAAATGTGGTTTGCATCAATAAAGATTGTATGAAATTCAAGGTTTGAGCCTCAAAGTGAAAGGTTCACTTTTTTGTATCTTGCTCAGAAATTGACGTTTCCTATTAAAAGTGTCCAAATTGACCCACCCTGTACATATTGAAATGGTCGACTAGTGATGTCCCTTATTTTAGGTGTTTACATCAATTTTCAAAGAAAAAAAAACATCTAAAATCTCCATATGCATCAAATTTCCAATATGTATTATCATACATAATTGCATATTTTTATGAAGAAGCCCGAACTTTGAATAAATTTACCAAAGTACATGAAAACCAATTTAAAAAATATACCCGTTGTTTTCCCACAAGAAATAAACCGAGATCTTGATTCTCGAACCTCGAATGCCATCAACAACAGTTACAGTTGACTCTCGGCAATAATTTTATTTATTGAACATACTTGGGACTTGCCCCATTGTCTCATTGTTGGATTCCGCGCCTCGCGTCAGCGCCATCAAGGGATAACGAAATAAATTATGCAAAACGATCAAGAAAGGAGGCCTGAGCAAACACATTCCACCTGAGGCCATCTGTCGGCCGTTAACGGTACTTGTGCTATGGAATTCGCGGAAGTAACCGGCTTCGAGACACGGCAGGTGTTTCTCGGGTGGCAGGTAGCATGGTCCAGATGGCGCGCGTGCAACTTTTAAGAATACAATAATTTTGAAATTATTCATACAAATTTGCACTATTCCTTTTAATGAATAATTATCGTGTTTAGAACAAAAGGATACAGTCTAATATTTCCGCCACTCCCGCGGGCTGTTCTTCTTGGCCCAAAAAGGCCGCAACTTCTTTTCGTAGATCGTGAAAAGTATTGTAGTAGTTGAATAAGTTGAATTCTTTCCGCCAGGCTTCCGGGTGGAGACACTGTCGGATTGGGAGTTGTCCATCTGTTATCATCCTAGAAAAAAAAAAAAAAAAGATAATGAAATTGGCATATTTGGATAAAGCAACTGAAGACAGAATTTTCTGTATTTTTACTTTTGAAAAATTCATAGTCCTTCTTGAGAAAACAGAAAAAAAAGAATTACCTCCAAATAAAAACCCAGAATTTATTTCTATGACGTCGCAGCAAGCAATTTGACCGTGTTGCCACTAATTGTCGACATTGAAAATTTGTAATAGATTTAATTCTGAAATGTTCGCAAAATATCATGAAAAGTAGTTAAATTAATCACTTATGGATTCAAGATTTTATAACTTTTTTATTGAAATTATGTTGAAACACAATTTAATACAATTTTTTATGTTTAGTTTTATTTTATTTTTTTACGTTGCACTACATCTAGTCACCACCGACAACAGCGCATTCGAACCTTTACCTGCTTTTACTACAGGGTACACAGCCGAGGCGGTAAGCTCCTTTGTAACAACAAGCGAAATGAAAAATATTTATGTGACGTCAGCAAATCGGCGCGTTTTAATTTAATTTGAATTTAGCCAATTTGAAATGCCTGTAAAAAACTTATTTAACCTTGTAGAACTTTTTTTTTTGGTATATATGCCTAAAATAGCCCCTCCTTTGGGATTTTATACTCAAATTACGTATTCAAATTTTAGTGAAAGACCCCATTTTCTTTGCCTCATTAGATAATGGAGCCATCAGGAGAAATTAATGAGAATAAAAAGTTATTCTAGAGTTGGAAAATTTATGTTTGAAAGCAGTTTTTTGGCAGTACTTAAATAGCTTTTTATCACAGAGTGACTCTTTTCGAACAGATTCTGTGTTCGAAATTATTGAGAGATATAGAGATAAAAAATTCTATTTGTAGAGTTCCATAGGTACTACTCTACATGTGATATTATGTGTAGAAACACATAATATTTAATCTGCATACAGGGTACCAACTAATTCATAGGGACAGTATTAGTCTAGGAAAATAGTCGAAAAATACATGTATTGCAAAAAAAAAATCCTACTCAAATGAACTTTTCAGGGATGATAGGGGGCGGGTGGGTGATCATAAAACCGAAAATATCAAACATTCACCCCTCTGGCGTTTTGCGCTATAGGGGTGGAAAGTGCGCCATTGGCGATTACTTGGTACCTATTGATATTACAAAAAAATGTTTCAAATAAAAGATGTGCAACATTATTTGATCTGCAATGTTTATCTAAAGACTTTTTTGATTAAGGGCCGTCTGTGGTCATAAGGGCTGTTTGAAATTTTAAAATGAAAATAAAAAATTTTAACCAACGTGAAAATTTTTTCCACAACACATAAATTTTTGCTTTATGAAGTTTTTACTCACCCCCTGTCGTTTTCAATAGGGGTAGTTTAAAGTTTATTTATTTTTTCACAAAAAAAATTTCAAGATTACATTTCCTACAATTTTTCCCAATAAACTTTTTTTGTAACTCATCCCCATTCAGCGGGGGGACACTTCCCTTAGGGAAATTTTAGTTTTTAGGGGTATATATTAATTTTTTTTTCTGTTCCCACCTTTAGTGCATATAAAAAAGTGCAATTAACATTGTATTAAAATAAATTTTTTTCCACCACCTTTTTGTTTTTAGGGGTAGTTCGCCTATTTTCAACTTTACAAAAAAAGTTATAGAGAAAAGTTGCTCAAAATAATAAAATGAACAAGTTTTCTTTATAAATTTTTTTTGTAATGTTGAAAATAGGCCTACCCCTAAAAACAAAAAGGTGGTGAAAAAAAAATCCTTTTAATACAATGTCAATTGCAACTTTTTATATGCACTGAATGCGAGAAAAGAAAAATAAATAATATATACCCCTAAAAAGTAAAATTTTCCCGAGGGAAGTGTCCCCCCGCTGAATGGGGGTGAGTTATAATAAAAGTTGATTAGGAAAAATTGTAGGAAATGTCATCTTATAAAACTTTTATTGAGAAAATTTTTTTGTAAAAAAATAAAAAAACTTTAAACTACCCCTATTGAAAAACGGCAGGGGGTGAGTAAAAACTTCATGAAGTAGAAATGTTGTATGAGTTGTTGAAATTTTTTTCACGTTGGTTAAAATTTTTCATTTTCATTATAAAATTTCAAACGGCCCTTATGACCACAGACGGCCCTTAATCAAAAAAGTCTTTAGATAAACATTGTAGATCAAATAATGTTGCACATCTTTTATTTGGAACATTTTTTTGTAAAATCAATAGGTACCAAGTAATCGCCAATGGCGCACTTTCAACCCCTATAGCGCCAAACGCCAGAGGGGTGAATGTTTGATATTTTCGGTTTTATGATCACCCACCCTCCCCCTATCATCCCTGAAAAGTTCTTTTGGGTAGGATTTTTTTTTTTTTAAAAACGACAATTTTCCTAGACTATATTGCTATCTCAGGAACGGTTAAAGTTAGGCGGGCGGTTAAATTAGAAAAAAGTTATAATTTTTTATGCCTATTAGGGTCGGTTTCCAATAGTGAGTCACCTCCGGGTTTGGTTTTAACTCCAGGGTAAACGTGTCCAGTTGCAATGTTTACCCTGAAGTTATGCTTGCGGGGGTGACTTGCTGTTGAGAAACCAGCTTTTGAAATATCATTTTGTTGTTGCCAAATTTCTTTTAGTTTTTAGCCTCCTCAAGGACGACTTATGAAAATCGTCAAAAACTGCTTTATTAAATATTTAGGTAATAGTTGGTTTATAATGGGATTACAGATTGCGTTTTAAACCGGAAACCAATAAACTCTTTATTTTAATTCTAAAACGCTTCGTACTTTGAACATTTTCTGTCATTTCTTATATTCAAAGGCAGATGGTTAAAAAACTTTTCACTTTTATAATTTATGCATTTTTCTGTTAGGTCGGAGCGGGAATGGGAAGTGAAGCCACCTGAGATGAACGAGCTCAGCAGATGCAGTCTCTTTACATTTACATTTACTGTATATCAGGCAAACAGTTTCATCAATAAATATACATGCCAAAGTTAAAATTCATTGTGAAACAAACAAAGATCTACATGATTGCCCAGGACCTACTTTCCACATTGACTTTATTGCGCGGTTTTGTAGAACGAAAGCCATACTGAAAAATTGATCTAAACTGGAACCCCAGAAACAAACTCCGTAACGTAGATAAGATTCAATTAACGCAAAATCCAAATTTTTCGCAGTTGGGAAATCCAACTCTCACAAGACAACTTTCAGTGCAAAACAATCTCTAGGAAGTTTTTTTAATCGTTGAAATCGTGAGTTTTGAACTTTAACTTCTCATCTAGGTATACGTAAACCCAAAAACTTATTCGCAACTTGAGAGCCCAAAATAAAATCAGTTAAACTACATTTAAGGGCGGGTATTATAAAACTTTTTCGACAGTTAATTTCTGGAATTACTATGAAAAGTAACGTCACTCCAGAAGTTTAGGTTGTTCTGTCAAAATAGTTTTTTAATACCCACCCTAAAAGATATAATATCAATCAAACTATTTTTTTAAATTTCAACTAGAACCCTGCTACCAACTGCGATCTCCAACTGATTTGCATTGTGGCCACAGAATAGTTGTATCATCAGCACACATTGTAATCACACCTGATAAGTATATCCAACTCTGATTGTTCAGGTCACACACTTAACTTAATAACAATTTAAATATGTATTCATATTTTTTTATAAAATTTGGCAACATCGCCAAAAGAGCGTAGGAAAGAGACAAGGATGTGGAGAGTAGGGTCAGAAAGAAACAAGCAAGCCGTCAGCCAGCCAGGCCATGTCATGAAATTTGTAAGAATAAAAATACAGTCCATTTTGTTTAGTTGAAAGTTATGTTTTATCATGAAACCTAGAGTCGTCGAGAATAGAAAACACCGATATCAAAGGATATCGATTCATGGTCCTTCGAGCCAGATTAATAAGTTAAATAGCTAATAGTAGTAAAATTGCAGTTTGCAGTGATTGTTAGTGATTTGGGAAGCATTGGGGCCGGCGGCGTAGTAAATTTGAAGCAATAACCAAAAATGTAAGTCTCCATCCTTTGTTCCTTATTTCCAGCACACCGGGGTGTATCGCATCTGGTCTCTTGTGGTGAGAATGGCAACCCAACATAAAATGTGAGTTTTTCAACTGCAAGGGTTCTCACTTTGTGTACTTTTGCGAAAAGTTCCTAGCTTTGACAAATATTCAGCGTTCAAAACAAGTAAAAGGGTTAAGATCATGTTTAAATTGCCTACGCTCTGGCCGCTGGCCCGCAGAATAATGTCAAAAAAGTCAATAATATTGCGGAAGGGGCTCACACTTGCCTCAATACACCGAGTTGAAGCCGTCGATGCAAATAGCACTGTTAGACAGTGGGTCACAAGTTAACTTTATCACAGATTACTTACATACAGATGAGAAAGAGCGGCGAATTCGTGATTCAGGATTAATTTGATAGACATAGGCTGGCCGCACCAATGCCACATCAATGTATTTTGAACATATTTATTATATAAATGCGGAAGCTCAATAATATAATATTATTTCTTTAATTGGTTCACAAACAGCATAAAAATATTTTTTTCTACCCGCAAAAATATGTAAACACACAGGCTGGAACATGCTCACGCACTCGGCCACCACGTTAATTGTCCTGACGCGGGCGATCTTTATCTATGCGTGGGGCTGCTGGCGGCCCGGCTTCGTCACAGAATATCGTCGACAGCAAGTATACGTACTTACGCATCTGTATTAGGTGATCTGTGACTTTATAACAAAAGATTCAGTCAAACAGTTGGGTTGAACCAATAAAACGAATTCAGCTATTTTTGGGATAAACAAACTTGAAGCAAAAATAGATAGCCAAATATATGGTACAATAAAGTCATCTCACAATAATTTCATAGATCTTCCGTTCTTAGTACTAAACAATATAACCCCAAATATCCCATCTCATCGTTCATTTGATAGTTCAGGGTCCAGATTCCGAACCTACGATTCGATAGTATCGTCTATCTATTTTA